CCAATCAACTTCACAAAGGCCAATTTCAAAGTGAGACGGGGTTGATGTTGACTGGAACGCCATGTTAAAGTGCATGTTAATAGACGAGAAGCAACAGATAGAGACCATTTGTATCGTGTTAAAAAAATAAATAAAAAAGAAATAAATACATATTTGGCCCAGACATACAAGTTTAACCATATTGGGAATGCCACTTTCTTTGTCATGTCTGGTTTCATTCAATCCTGTCCAAATCTGAAAGCAGTTGATCATCTCACCTGGTCTGTGGCGTTTCCCTGCATCAGCTGGCTGCGATATATTTGCCTTGTGCCGAAGCGTCCTCCCCGCCGTGCCTCCGGGATAGTGGAATATGACGGATGCGGAACACAGGCCCTCCAACGCAGCTGGACAACAACAATAAAAAAACAATTAAAAAGGGAAACATTGTGGAAAATTGGATTTTGAATCTGTTGTATACAAATAAGTGGGTCTCGGGAGTGCCTGCCTACCTGCCAAGTGTGTAATTACACAACCAAGTACCGGGTACATCTTTTGTGAGGTGCCCATTTAAAAATAAATAATAATCACCTTTTGTCCGTTTTTGGTGAGACCGCTACTTATGACAACTGTGGTTTATTTGCTGCCACCTCGGCAGGGAATTTGTTACTTAAAGCAGAGGATCTGCACCATGCAGGCCAGTAGCTGCTGCCCACAACAGTGCAGTGCAAGTTAGCTTAGCGCTAGCGTTCGCGAGCAGCCGAGAAGGCAGGAACTCGGGGAGGAGGTGTGACGTGTACGCAACGCTTTTCTCTTTCTTTTCTTTTTTTTTTTTTTTAAACCTTATGTATTACACTCCATATATGTTATGTTGCATTTTGCTGTGTGAATAATCTTTAAGAGATAAACAAGTATACAACTGTGAATTCTCACGTTCACAATTGTCTAACAGATGACGAATATCCAGTCTTTTCCAAATTGGATAAATTATTGTTGTGAGGCCAATTAACCTTTGCGTAACCGTGAATTCCCCATGTCTACCATTATTTCATACTGTATATGAATTGGATATTGGCTGACAAGCGCAACCAGGAGTTGCGTCATGACACTTACCCCCCAACCAGAGGAAGTCATTAACGCCCCGAAGCAGCTCCACGGCCATGTGGTAGTGAACGAGGGCGTCTTGCAGCATGCCCGCTTGGAGACACAGGTCGCCGACGTGTTTCCTCATGCGACCCTGGCAGCGCTTCTTGTAATGCCTGAAGAGCAACGGAGGGGAGCTGGTGAGCGTGTTTCGAACAGGCGTCACTGAGACAGCAACCAATGTTTCTGCTACTGTCGAGTTAGATTTCAGATGGCTATCACGAGAGGAGATGTACTGAGGGGAGTGACACCACAGGCAAAGGAGAGCACTGAAACAAGGAGCTTCAAGTAGTTCTTTGCAGCCATTTAAAGGCAATCATAAAGCACTGGTGGGGGGTGTGGGGGGTCAATTAGGCATAGATTGAAATTTCTTATTTAGTTCAGTACATATGCGCTCCATCCGGTCGAACCAAATCTGTCTGTGTGACTTCATACGAAGGGAGGGGAAAAGCTTGGAATCTTGAGGTTTGGGATCGTCACCGGATACACTGAGGAAGGCTCATGGCTCACCTTTTCGCACCCAACAATAAACTCACAGGACAGTATGAAAGAAAAAAAAAAAGGCAGAGCAAAATAAAGCCAGGTGAACAAGCAAAAATGAAGATGGTAGGACAAATGAAACTTTTGAACATTTTCAACAAGGGTGTCCAAACCTTTTCTTCCAAGTGGTGTGCACAACTTTGACATGCTTTACCTTGAAATGATTCAACACATTAAAATCAATCAATGTGGGTCATATGTACTATGCCCTTTATATTTGCTGTTGGGCATTTGTGAATTCTTATATTTCTGTTTGTTTGATGAGAATGCCTATTTGCTGTTTTTGTGCTCAGGCCACAAGCAATAAAAGTCTTACTTTGGCACCATCTTGTGAAAATCTTGGTGACGGTGAATGCACCTCGTATACAGTCCAAGTGAAACTAAAAGTTAGTTACAGCCCACGTAGGTTCTTGCTCCAATTTGTTTGGACAGAAACCCATAACATTTATTATCGTGTGCAAATGCCAAAAGGACAACTCAGGACTTTCCATGCGAGTGTTTTGTTTCCCCGCGTGTGTGATGTCACATCTGTTTCTGCCAGCTTGTGGCTGGTATGCTAGCAAATTCTGTTGATGAGCCTCATGAGAACGTGGTTTGTGTTGAATAATTTCACGACTGAATACAGACGTGAAATTATCATAGGTTTTTGCTCGTGTTCAGTTTAGTATATGTGGTTAACTGCTCAAAAAAAATGGACAGCAAATGGGCCTCAGAGCTTTAGTTTGGACACCCCCATAAAAATTGCACTCACCTGCTGTCAGTGTCCAAACCCACAAAGTCCTTCTTCTCAAAGGGCACACAGAGCAGAGGGATCTTATCGCCCGACTTGTCGGTGGCACGGTCCAGCCGTTTGGACTCCAGGACGATAAAGATGGACTCCACAAAGTCCTCCACCTTCTTCTCCACGTCGGAGCAGTCTTCAAAGTCTGGGTAGAAGGCCACGTCCGTCCTCTGTTGCTCGGCGATCTCCCCCTGGAGCCCGAAAACCAACAACCTGGAGTCGTACAGCGTGGAGCCGTACACTTCCTTCTGGGTGTGGAAGTGCTCCGCCGTCAGAGGCCATTCCTTGGAGTCGCTGCAGGTAGTGATAGCCACCAGTCCCACCACCTTGCGGTGTGTCTGGAAGTCGCCCCACTCGTTGTTTTCGGACAAGTAGTGGTGGCGGTAGCGGATGTACAGGAGGCGCTGGGAGTCCCGGATGCTGACTTGGCTCACGCTGGCGATGCGCTTATAGATCTTGAAGAACTGTTCCTCGGGAACATTGCCGACCGGTTGGACCACCACCAAAACTGACTGATGGTCTTCAGCACATTGCATGTAGTCGGGGACACTCATTTTCCCATGTGGGTTTCCTTGAGGCAGAAGTACAGAAAGAGTATGAGGACCACGCTGAGAAGGAGGGGGGGGGGGAACCTGAAAACATGACTTTGCTGCGATATTTTTTCTGAAATACTGTAACTAATTTTTCAATTCGGCCTTGGTGTTCCATAAAGGGAAGTTAATATTATTGTTACATTGTAAGATTACCAAATTGTTTGCATCAAAATAGTTTGGTTCTCCGCTGGTGTCAAATGCAGGTGCAGAAAGTTTTTTAAAAAAAAACATTTTTTTTAAACTTGCCACTGTTTGGCTTTAGCCACAGGTGTTTCTACTCAAGATCACCTTTCTCTAACAAACGGATTCGAAGCACCTCTGACTAAAACCAAACTGGTGCAGGGTTTTTCCATTCCGGACATTGGATTTACCACCTCTCGTGATATAAGGAATGTCTTAAAATTAATATATGATTATTGTCCGCGAAAATACACAACTATTTCCTCGAAAAAAATGCATGACCACAAATAACGACGTTTATAAGTTGTATCATACATTGAAATGTTATTCAGCATTTTTCCTTTCGAAAAAGAAAAAAAGTCCTCAATAACAAATGATTATATTTTAATGACTTCTCAAAAATGCATGCTGTTAAAAAGTAATACATTTTATGAGTTTACAATTACATATTTAAGGTATAAACGACTATTGGTTCCAAGCGGGAACAATGTTCAACATATCCATTGAGAGCTCTCTCGTAGCTTAGCCAAATAGCCAGTGCACGATAGTTACATTGTCACACCCCCAGTGTTGACACAACGAACTGAAAACCATAGCACGCATTCTCGTACTCATATTTTCGACTTCCACCCGACTGACTTGACCACATTTATTCGTGCGTCTCGTTACCTTCACAGCAAGCTGTCAAACGTTGCAGCTTCCTTCTTCGGCTCACGGGTTGGCGACGCAAGAACAATATACTTTGTTGCTTTCAAAATAACACAGAAAACAAAAAAAGATGCCAAGTCGACCTAGTGTACAGCTAAATTATTTGACAAATGTTCGTAACAGCTACAAAAAACCCTTACAACAGAAACCATAGCAGCAGTGAATGTTAAAATAGAATGTGCTGAAAGCGACCCAAACGAATGTAATAGGCTTGCTTTTATTTTGAATACCCGAACCTTGATTTCCTGTTGCAGCGAGAACGATGATCCGTCTACTCGCAACGTCGGAACTTTTAGAGGTCCCCCCCCTCCATTTTATTGATATAAAAACAGTCCTTTTTCATAAAACATGAAAAATATTCAAAATTGATATTAAATATAAATTTTAAATTAACTAAAAAAAGATGTCTAATTAGAAGACGAAATATTCATATACCATCAAGGGTCCCTTTGTTTTCATCCTTGTGCTATGAATATATTGTTTTAGCGTTTTATCAAAATGTTAAATATTATTTCCCTTTTCCTGTTTTGCTGTACCGTCTCACATCTAATGTCTTTAAATTCCCTTTTGGGTGAATCATGTTGCTCTCTCAGAAATCCAGTGCTGAGATTCCTCCTTAAGCACCATACATACAGTCAAAAAAGATAAATAAATTATCCAAAGTATCTATATCAGAAAAACAAAAATAAAGCACAATAATTTAGCTCTACATTAAACCTCTGTTTCAGAAAAGCACCATAAGTATATATCGTTAATTATCTTAAAATGTCTTTCTTTAGCTTTCAGTGATGAAATTTACTTTGTTCTCATTCTAACACTATATTTTTAAAATTATATTACATATACAAATTCTTCCTTTTGAAATGTTGAATCATCTTTTATTGGAAAGCATTCATAAACACATAAATTGATAGGACTGATGTTGTGCTTCAAGGGTTATTTTTTTGAGTCAATGTTTAATCCAATCCAAACAGCAGAGCAACAAAGTGGCATTCTAACCGTATTTAAAAACATCAGTATGTAATATAAAAACTTCAGTAATACATTTTTCTGATGACACTGAGGTAAAGAACCACCAAAAGAAAATGTGATGTTTGTGATGTCATATTAAAGACGAAAGGATCAAAGATATTGAAGTAGAAGGGTCCAATATATTTATCAAGTCTGGCATATGAAAACTGGTTTCCAAAGGAGAGGTGAGTTGCTTTGTTTCTCTCAACTCTTCTAGTCCATGTTTCCAAAATATTTGTCATGTGTAAAACATATAACATGTAATTGATTTGGAATATGTTCAAAACTATTGTCATTAATTCTAACATGATTGTCAAAGCAATCTACACTTTTTGAAAGTCATGCCAACAACTCGAAATGTTGGAAGCTGTATGTGGTGAATTAGATTACAGCAGCTGAAACTATTGCAATAAACAAATAAAATTGGCCTATAAAGTGCATGTTGATGGGCCTGCTTTTAGTTAAACGGTCAATTCAAACCAAAGTGGAATAACAACTGACACTATGATTTCTATAAAATGGAGTGGAATTCCATTAAAACAGTGTTACCCCCCCTCCCCCCCAGCTCATCACCTAATTGTATTTGGCTTTTGCAGAATCAGTATCAGCCTGGTGGCCACAACAACCAGTACTCTTGTAAAAGCCATACCTGAAGTAGACAATGCCACGCAAAAGCACAGCAAGCGAGAGGCCCTGCAGCATAGAGGTGAGAGACAAGGGGAGGTAATACGACAGTCGTACTCAGTCGTGTTTGTTGCATGACTGCCACATATTTTTTTTTTCTCCCTTCCAGCTCAACATCGTCAAACAAATGGAGTTGGAAGAGCAGGATGAGCAAAAGGAAGTAAAATGGGACAACAAGTTCCAGTACTTGCTAACCATCATTGGCTTTGCAGTTGGACTTGGAAACATTTGGCGCTTTCCCTTCCTTTGCCAAACTTACGGAGGAGGTGACATGCCATCCTTTAGCCTCGGGGGGGGTAACGCGCTTTTGTGAAAACAGTTGAGGGTCTTACAAAGGGCCTCTGAGATCCTTTGGAGAAAATACACAAAAGATACCGTAATGAATTACAGACTTACAAGCCATTCGGTTTTGGGGGTTCGGTTCCGCATCAGGAAATTGAGTCGCGGTCATTCCCCCCGGCCCATTGTACACACATTACTATGACAACCAGGGGCAGAGCAGTGGGTGTCACGACAGGGCGAACTGCTACTTGGTCTCAAACGTAGCCGAATCTGAAACCAAGAGGAAGCGGCACGTCATTGGCAAGCTGCCAAACGCGATTAAGTAGCAAAACACAAAGACAATTTGGATGCTCGTCAGAATCTGCATGATCAGTTCATGCTCATCTGACAGTTAATTTGATTTTACACCTGAGTCGTACGCAGGTAATCCAGACGGCCAACTATTTGTACAACAGCATACATCATAATCTTTTCAGGTACCTCAGGTAAAAAAATCTTGCAAGATGGATCGTTGACAGAAGTCCAAATGTTGACCGCATTGGCAGGGGCCTTCCTCATCCCGTACCTGATCGCGCTGGTGACTGAGGGTCTCCCCCTGCTCTACCTGGAGTTGGCCATCGGACAGAGGATCCGCAAGGGAACCATTGGATCGTGGCGAGAGATCTCACCCTTACTGGGTGGAATTGGTGGGTGAGCGGAGAATCTCGGGATCCTTTTCTTGCCATTTCTGTTTGAATTCAGAAGAAATCGATATGGCGCTGACTTGTTTTCTTCTTACAGGCATCAGCTCCATGCTGGTATCTTTTCTGATTGCACTTTTTTACACCTGCGTCCTGGCTTGGGTGCTGTGGTACTTCTACAACTCGTTCAAAATCCCTCTGCCGTGGAGCCAGTGTCCGGCTAATGACACAAGTAATATGTGTGTGCGCGGAGAATGATAAGTCACGCTGTGCCGGCCATGGAAAACATGACCCGATAAGCCACATTTGATGGAAATAGGAACCCATAAGCGGCTCTAACCCTTTCAGGGACGACGGTTACAACAGTGGACAGCTTATCGTGTTCTCGGGTTACAGGGTGCAGGAAAGGGTTGAATCCATGAATTTTGTTGTTGGCGCTCGCTTTTACTGTTGACGGGACATGGAGCCTCCTCTACATATTTCACATGAAATGCAATTGTTGTATCACTGGGCATCCCCTTGCAGAATTGATGGCCGAATGCCTGAAAAGCACTCCGGTCAATTTCTTCTGGTACCGCGAGACCCTCAACATCACTCCTGACATTGAGACCAGCGGTTCTCTGCAGTGGTGGTTGGTGGTCTGCCTGGCCTGCAACTGGTCGTTGATCTATATCTGTTTCATCAGAGGAATCAAGTCCATCGGGAAGGTGAGCGGCTTGACGAAAAGTGTCCACAGTTAGTCTCGCGGTTGCGTTGAAATCTGGCTTTTGTTTATAGGCAGTATATGTGACAACCACGTTGCCCTACGTGGTTCTCACCATTTTTCTGTGCCATGGCCTCACCTTACCCGGAGCCATCGATGGACTGTTGTATCTCTTCACCCCTGACGTAAGTTTTCTCACTTTTGGGAGGAGAAACTTGAGAATGGCGGATCTGAACTCAACAGCCCGATGATGTGCGTTTCTTTCAGTGGCAGATAATGAAGAACCCACAGGTGTGGCTTGACGCCGCAACTCAAATCTTCTTCTCTCTCTCGTTGGCCTTTGGAGGTCTGATAGCGTTCTCCAGTTACAACAATGAGCAGTAAGAACTTGTCAACAAAGTAGACTGCGGATGGTCGGTGAGGGGCACTCTGTGAATTTTCTTGTCGTGTGCATATTAGCAACAACTGCGAGAAGGATGCCCTTATCGTGGGAATAATCAACAGTGCCACGTCCCTGTACGCATCCATTGCCGTCTTTGCCGTCCTGGGCTTTAAAGCCAACAACGACTTGCAAAACTGTCAGACGGAGTACGTGGCCAAGTTCAAGGAAATGTCCGGACAGCTTGACTTCACCATTTCTGACGAGGGTCCACTCAACTATAGCCTGTTGGTTGAGTATGTGAAGACAAATCCAGCAGTCAACTCCATGCTGTCACTGAGAGAGTGTAACCTAAACACTTTCCTTGACCAGGTAATTTGGATTGATTAGTGCTCTCCCAAGTCTTTACGGGAACGGTGTTAACCAATGTGGAATATGTTTTGAATGTTTCCTTTGAACCCCACCACCCTCGCCCCCCCAGAGTGCTTCTGGAACTGGCCTGGCTTTTATCATGTTCACCCAAGCAGTGCTGGAGATGCCATACCCGCAGGTGTGGGCGGTCTTGTTTTTCCTGATGCTCTTGAGCTTGGGCCTGTCCTCCATGTTTGGCACCCTCGAGGGAGTCCTCAACCCCATTCGTGAGCTCAACATTGTGCCCAAGTGGCTCCCTGTTGAAGTGTGGACAGGTACATCCAAAACCCATGAGAAAGTGGCGCTCAAGTGAGAGGATGTTGAAGATTCCGTCGTCGTCGTTTACAGGGCTGGTCTGCTTGGCTGCCTTTTTGATTTCTCTCATCTTCACCATGGGATCTGGGAACTACTGGGTTGAGGTGTTCAACACTTACGTGGGCTCCATCCCCCTCCTCATTATTGCATTTTTCGAAGTCGTCGGAGTGGCGTATGTCCACAGAATGAAAAAGTATGCATTTTCTTCAACTCTTGGATTGACTCGACTGTGTTTTGCTGTAAAAAAAAAAACCAAATTATAATAATTTTTGTTTTCTCTCTGTCCTCAAGTTTCAGTGACGACATCTTTTTCATGACCGGCAAGAAGCCCAGTCTTTACTGGAGAATTTGTTGGACTATTGTCAGTCCTTTGATGCTGATCTCAGTATTGATCGCCTACGTGGCACTCGAGGCACAGTATCCTCCCACCTTTGGCACGTGGAATCTGGCTTATGTAAGCAAAACTTCCATTTCTCACTGAGCTCAAGTTTTCAAATGCTCAAGTGTTGCCCGTGTGTGTCCTTTAGGAACTGTTCCCCCAAACTCAAGTCAAGCCCTACCCTGGCTGGGTGGTTGCCATCAGCGTGCTACTTTGCGCCTTGCCCGTGAGCGCCATCCCACTTGTAGCTTTGTACCACAGCTTCAAGAAGACCTCCAGCCGTCTCAACATCAACACATACAGGGTTTCGATGGAGAATTCCGTGCAGGAGGACCAGCAATAAATTAACGGCGGTCGAGATGAAGAATGGGAATGTCGCTTTCCCTAACCCAACTCTCTTTAGAGCATTCATTTTGGTGATGGTCACTACGGTGGCACGCTGGCCAATCAGTATCTTTTTTTTTTTGGGTGGAACTTGCTGTAAAAGGTTTGAGCAAGTTGATTTAAAAATCCGGCATGTACATTCATCCAATCTGAAGCAAAATGACACGGACAGCAAATTCTTTGGCTCGAGATGATGGTTCACCACTTTTTGTTAACCGGCTGTCATTTTTTGAGACTTTTGTCATGGAAAAATACAACAAAGTCTTTACTTTTTCATGGAAAAATACCAAGTGTAAATCAAAGTCCAGTACACTGTGTAGTAAAGTAGCTGGCCGATTTTCAAATTGCAATCTTTATTGATCTAGCGGCAGGTTTACTGGTGGTGTTTATGACAAATGGATCATCATTAAAAGAGCTTTGTGTTAAGTGTTGCCTCTGTGAGTTCCTGGATTGAGAAGGTGCAAAGTGAATATTCTTTTAAAAAATGCTTGATATGTCAGATACTGCTGCACAAGATTGGGTATTTATTGATTAGGGGAAAAAAGACGACCATGTTAGCATCCTGGGATGTCCTTGTCAACAGCCAAAGCAGGGAACACCTTTTGACCAGACTTGGCAAGAGCTCTACCCCCCCCAACCCCCCACATCATCATCCACCTTAAATATAGAATATACGATATAAAACCATACTGAGCGATAACGTCACTGGGTAAAATCTTTATCTGCAAAGGAGGAAATGCTGCAGATAGCAATGTGCACCCATGTGCAGAAAGCAGACCGAACCCTTGCAAACGCGGCCGTAAGTACCGCGTCGGCTCCAAATATCAGAACAAATTGTCTTGTACAGAAAGTTACGGCTGATAAAAGAACAATGGAAAGCGCTGATGGGCTAAATGGCCACGTCGCTTTGGCATTGAATGTTTTGCTTGCTTTGATGCATTCCATCCAGAATAGCTTGTTGCGGTTTGTTGCTCAAAAGTTACTGCTGACAAAAAGGTTTTACGTTCCAATTCGCATCACTTGAGGTCACCATAACATTGGCACTCCATCACGCTGGTTATCTATTAATCTGGGAGTTTCCACATTCCGAAATTAAATAAGCTTTGACTCGCTAAACCATCACGGTTTCCGTACACTGAGCTGTGACTTTTTTTGTTTTGAGCTTTCCCATGGCAGTTTTCAATTTCTGCACATTAGAACTGCAATGAGAGTGTTTTAGCTGCTGTTGATGCTGCCATAAGCTCTTGTAAAAGAAAAAAAAAAAGTCTTATCTCAAAAGAGTCTTTCCTGATGACACAAAGATTCAATTTAAAAAATGAATTGCACTTTGCGTCATCCGAACCAGTAACCTGACTGGAAGCTGCTGATAGGACATTGGAGGACAGCCCCCAAGGGAGGCAGACAGCTGATAAAAGACAAGCCCCACACATTAAAGACCGCCACACTCAGGTGAGACTAGGGAGAAGACGGCTCAAATAATAACTTAATAAATCCAATTTTTTGACCACGTTTTACAATTGAGGGACTTTGGCGCAAAGATGGACAAAACGAGAGATGTGCAAGAGGAGGTCACGTGGAACAACAAGATTGAATACATGCTGACCTCCATTGGTTTTGCGGTTGGGATCGGCAACGTTTGGCGCTTCCCCTACCTTTGCCAAATTTATGGAGGAGGTGAGTTACTTCTTATGCTTCCCACGTTCCGTCAAGCGATTTGTGCAGGCCCCGGCACAGTATTGATTCACTTCCTCATAGTTGTCAGTGAAGGTCAAGCTGAACAAACATGGACCCGCGCTAACGTGCGGCGGGGTTATCGGCTTTATTAGCTCACGTATTTACTCTCACGGGAAGTGTTGCGCAGGCTCAATTTGACCAATGCTTAACCGCAATTTAAAACTCGCTTAGGGCATCGGATTAGAAAAACGATCCCGCCGTCACATTTATCAAGATGAGCTCCACTGATTCTTCATGAGCACAAATGTTTCCACCCTCAGGAGCGTTCCTCATCCCCTACCTGATAGCGTTGGTGTTTGAGGGTCTCCCGCTGCTCTACTTGGAAATGGCGATTGGACAGAGGCTCCGCAAGGGAAGCATCGGAGTGTGGAAGAACATCTCGCCCTTTCTGGGCGGAGTTGGTGGGTGTCCCGGGACATTTCTGCAAATATGGCATAGTTTTGAGACCGGAGTTGCAAATTTCCTGCTCATATGCAGAGAAAGAGTACAACAGAAATTTCTTGATTAAACGTGACGGAGCTCATGATGTTCTTTTCTCCATGTAGGCATTGGCTCGATGGTTGTATCGTTCCTGGTGTGTAATTTCTACAATACCATCCTGGCCTGGGTCTTTTGGTACTTCTTCAACTCCTTCCAGAACCCTTTGCCGTGGAGCCAGTGTCCACTCAACATCAATCGTACAGGTAATTCATGCAAAATGAGTTTTTATCTGATCAATCAATGGAATAATAATGTACACTGGCTCACAGTCAGCTGTCTATAAATCATCAAATGGTTTGGATCCTGAATGCATGAATGAAATGCTGATTGAATATAAAGTCAGCCGGCCAATTGGGTCAATTAGTGAAGCCCAGAGTTTAAAGCAAACATGGTGACGCTGCATTTAGCTGTTGTGCTGCACGCCAATGGAATGACCTGCCAACAGAAGGGAAGTCAGCGCCGAGTGTAAATGTGATCACTGTAGCCCAATAGTGGTGACACAAAATTAAGAAAGCAAATCTCTAAAAGTTTGGATTGACGTTAGTACAGGACGGAAACTGATCTATAAACCAAACGGAAATCATTCATCACAATAAATTGCTCTTGCTTTGTTACCTTACCCTCGATCCACGCAGGCTTGAATGAGGAGTGTGTGAAGAGCACCCCAGTCAATTTCTTCTGGTACCGTCAGACCCTGAACATCACCACTGACATCGAGACAAGCGGTTCTCTGCAGTGGTGGTTGGTGGTCTGCCTGGCCTGCGCCTGGCTCACGATGTACATCTGTATCATCAAAGGGATCCAATCCATGGGAAAGGTCAGTGGATCGCCGACACACCGAAGATCAGTTCCGTGCATCTTTCAATGAATGTTATCCATTTTAGGCAGTGTACGTGACGACCACTTTGCCATACGTGGTACTCACCATTTTTCTGGTCCGCGCCCTCACCCTGCCCGGAGCGACAGACGGACTGGTGTACCTCTTCACCCCTGATGTGAATATCCTCATATTTTGGGGGCGGATACGTGAGCATGACAGCTCCAGAGTCAAGAAACCTGATGTGTGTTTTTTCAGTGGGAGATACTGAAGGACCCCCAGGTGTGGTTGGATGCCTCGACTCAGATCTTCTTCTCTCTCTCGGTGGCCTTTGGAGGTCTGATAGCGATCTCCAGCTATGCTAATGAGAAGTAAGGACGACGCCATTATTGTAGAAAAAAAACCTTGAGGGGATTTGCGGAGTGCGCTCTTTCATCTGGACTGCTCTGTGTGTATTAGGAACAACTGTGAGAAGGACGCCGTCATCGTGGGACTGATAAACAGCGGCACATCCCTTTACGCTGCCATATCCATCTTTGCCATCCTGGGTTTTAAAGCCAACGCCGGTTTCAATTCCTGTCTGAAAGAGTACGTACAGACGTTCAGATCTGTTCTCAGGGTATTCACTTGATCGGAATTGAACTCGTTTGGGAGCCGTTTTAGAAACCAGACTACGGACGGTAACGGTTTTGAAAGACTGATACTATTGGTGGTTTGAAGGGGGGGAGGGTGGCTCTAACTTAGATAAACAGTCGAGTTTCCACATCAACACCCAGACTAGTGCTGTCCGTCCCTAGCTTTGTGCATGAACTGATAAAGCCTGCTTGGATGAGAGGCGAAAAGTCCTCGAAGACGACCAGAACAGTCCAACCGCGATCAATTAATAAATGCCCGGAGAATGAACGACCCGGATGAATGACAACATCCGCAGGCACGTTAAGATCTAATGACCAAGCTGCCTTGTAACATCCAAAACGTTTTATTTTCAGAAACATCTTGGTTTTGACCAACCACTTTGAGTTTTCTGACCAGAATATAACAGCGGACAACTATGACCACTGGGTTGAGTATCTGAATCAGACCAATCTAGATGAGCTCGCCAGCCTGCAACTGAGACCCTGCAAGCTGAAAACATTCCTTGACCAGGTGACGTGATTCCAAACGAGCGTCCATGCGTGCGCTCTCACGGGTTGTTGCCGGCCCTCTGCTCTCATCGAATTTAATTGCACTCAATGTACCAGACAAAAATGTGAAATATTTCTTTTTAATCACAGAGCGCTTCTGGAACTGGCCTGGCTTTTATCGTGTTCACTGAAGCCGTACTGGAGATGCCGGGCTCGCAGTTATGGGCGGTATTGTTTTTCCTCATGCTCTTCAGCTTAGGCCTATCCTCCATGTTTGGTAACGCTGAAGGAGTCCTAAGGCCCTTCTGTGACCTCAACCTGGTACCCAAGTGGGTACCCCAAGAACTCATTACAGGTACCTGAAATTTACAGTCGGCGCTCAAAAGTCAAAAGAGCATGTTTGTTTCCAGTCAATGATTTTTTTTTTCTTTTCTTTTCGTGACTTTTCAGGGGCATTCTGCTTGATGTCATTTTTGATTTCGCTCATCTTCACCATGGGGTCGGGCAACTACTGGGTGGAGGTCTTCAACAGCTACGTGGGCTCGGTCCCCCTGCTCATTATTGCCTTTTTTGAGATCATCGGAGTTGTTTATGTCTACGGAATGAAAAAGTATCGATTCGTTTTTCTTTTACGCGATGCAACTCAGCCCCCCCCGCAGTGCAATAATCAACTGTGTGTGTTTTTGTTGTGTCCTCAGTTTCAGTGAAGACATCTATTTCATGACCGGGAAGAGGCCAAATCTTTATTGGAGATGTTGTTGGACTATCATCAGTCCTTTAATGCTTAAGATAGTGTTGATTGCATATGTGGTCCTCCAAGCCCAGAAACACCCCACATACCCTGCGTGGAATCCTGATTACGTAAGTAACCCCTCCCCCTACACCCCCCAAAAAATGATATATGTATTGGGTGGAGTTTTAACACAGTTGCATCCTTTGCTTTAGGAACTCTTTCCCAAAACAGAGGTTAAGCCCTACCCAGACTTTGCGTTTGCCGTAATCATCCTCCTCTGTGCCATGCCCGTGGTTTCGATCCCACTCGTGGCTCTCTACAAAGGAATCCAAAAGGTCAGGGAGAGGTCTTCGTCACGGGAGGGACGAAACCCGTACGGCAATGACGCTTTTGAGATCGAAGCGCAGTGACATCGGGAGCGGTGACCTGTGCATCTGTTGTCATGAACTACGTTTCCATTCCTGAAAAGGAGCCTCCTGAGTACATCATTGTCAGAGAGAAATTGCTTTCTTTTATGAGTGGGAAGGCATGCTGGCATCATGACAAAGGATCCTTTTTCTTTTTCTTTTTTAGACAAAGGGTGTTGATAATTCGGTCAATAAAAAAAAAAAACTGAGCGTATTTACACATTAAAGTACACAAAGGCAAATCTGGCGTTACACTACAACACTTAAAGTCGTTACTCATAAACAAAATACTTTTGACCACGCCAACTGAAACATTTGCATCGTGGCAGTAAATCTCAAACATACCTAAATTGCTTTCTTCGACATTGACATAGAAAAATACCACAAAGCATAAATCGTAACCCAGATGGACAAAGGCTGTCAATTCCATTGTACAGCCCGAGGTTTTTTTTTTTCTTTCACAGAACCAAATGTCTTTACCGATTGTTATTTCAACACTTGTCGCAAATCCTCACATCCAAACCTGTCAGCTGCTTATGGCTATTGTTTTTTTTTTACCGGGAGACTTTATCAAAATGAGTTAACACAAATATATTTAAGTTCGAATGGTCAAGAATTCCACAGGGATCCTGGGTCTAGCTGCTTGTCTCACCCTCGCCAGTTGCACATCTCCCAGACGGCTCTCCAGACTGCGCTTCCCTGTCAAGGAGCAGACATCATTATATATATATA